CAAATCAAAGGCAACCACGGTTGGATTTGCTAAAATGATCAATTTTGGGAGACCTCTTTTTCATGGATTTCAGGGCTATATAGTGGCCATAACACAGATACACAGATTTTATTCTGACTATAGGAATGTTTACATTTCCTCTGCTGTCAGCTCTGTTATAAAAATAAAAGTTGGTTAATATTATTGGTAATCACATAGGACTTATGATAATAACAGAAATTGCAAATATAAGGACAAAAAATTTGGAGTAATCTTTGCTGTTTGTAAAGCACAAATGTTATAGCCCGCCAATATATTTTTTTAACAGTTTACATGCAGATTAGACTTTCGGCAGTGATGGTGAAAAATTATACAGGTTATGTTATAGTGTATGTTAATGTACAGATCGAAATCAAGTAAACCATTGCTCAAATTATGGCTCGGAATGCATTTTAACGCATGGAGTTAAATTACTTTGACATTTGAACCCAAAAATAAACAGGCTTGTTGCCACTTTATAATTCAGGTAATTGAGGTATATAAGTTTTATGAGCGTAGCCGAAAGCCTCTCAAGGTATATGATGTGTTTTAACTCATTCACCCTGAAATGTCATAATGAACTATTCCATTCTTTGAATAAGAAGAGTTCAAATGTGTCTGCAGGGGTGATTGTGTTAAAATACCTCTTTGACCTTGCCTGTGACCTTAAATGATTTAACCCCAAAATAGATAGTGTATTGCCATTTATGTGGTGATGTGTTTATCAAGATAAACAAATAAAGATGAAAAGCTTCCCAGATTACGATCCAGACATTCATGTGTTCACAGATGAACAGACAGAAATGATAATTTCATAATACCCGTGTAACTTCCTACGTAACTTCGTAAAGATTATGAAGACATATGGCTTCTAACAGTAACAAAAGACACCAGTCTTCAACAATGGCAAATCACATGTGTCTTCAACAATGGCAAATTACATGTGTCTTCAACAATGGCAAATCATGTGTGTCTTTAACAATGGCAAATTACATGTGTCTTCAACAATGGCAAATAACATGCGTCTTCAGCAATGGCAAATCACATGTGGCTTCAACAATGGCAAATCACATGTGTCTTCAACAATGGCAAATTACATGTGTCTTCACCCATGGCAAATTACATGTGTCTTGACAATGGCAAATCACATGGGTCTTCAACAATGGCAAATCACATGTGTCTTAAACAATGGCAAATTCCATGTTTCTTCAACAATGGCAAATCATGTGTGTCTTTAACAATGGCAAATTACATGTGTCTTCAACAATGGCAAATCACATGTGTCTTTAACAATGGCAAATTACATGTGTCTTCAACAAAGTCAGACAACAGACAACTAATGAACCAGTAAGTAAACACATCTGTCTAAGATATCATTAAAGATAATTGTCTATCACAAGGGAAAAAAATATGTGCTTCTCAACAACAAGATGAGGACACATGCTTTCAACAAAGACACATGCCTTCAACAAAGACACATGCCTTCAACAATTAAATGAAGACACATGATTTTAACAAAGACACATGACTTCAATGATGAAATGAAGACATGATCTTAACAAAGACACATGTCTTCAATGACATTAAAAGACATAAATTCTAAATAGAAATACAGACGTGTGCCTTTAACAAAGACAAAAAGATACATGTTTTCAACAACAACTAAAGAAAATGTGCCTCCAACATCGACAAAAATAACAAATGACTACAATAATGACAAGATGACATGCCTTCAACTTTGACATCAACACATACGCCTTCAACAATGTCAAAATAAAACCTTCGACAACAACAATGACAACTAACAATTTATATCTATCAACAGCAAAATAAAATAAAAAATAGTTGCCAATAACATTTATGAATAAAATTGCTTGTATTTACTATGATTTGAAACAAACATGTTTTCCACGTCATGTTTTTTTGTAAATCAAGGAGATTTTGATTGCCTCCTCGATACTCTTAGTATCTTCAGAATCCCAATGGGCCATGATGTTTTTATACTTGAAATACAACTCTGAGCTACATTAACTCATTCACCCCTGAAAGCACATTTGAACTCTTCCAATACAAAGGTTGAAATAGTTCATTATGATATGTCAGGGGTGAATGAGTTAAGGTCAAAAGAGGTCTTCCAATTTTGTTGTGATTTACATTAGATTATATTTTAATTTCAAATTTTAATAATTTTACATTGGTTTTTTAAGCAATGATGATGAAATTCACTATCTAGGTACAGTGAATGGGGTCTCTGTTGTGTACATTTCCAGAAAGTTTCTGAATTAGATATAAAATATTTGTAGGACAGAACTTGTTATTAACCATAACTAATAGCACAATGGAAAAAGATGTTGATTTCCCATCAGAATGTTGTAAATATCTGTCACAAAAAATTACAATAATCTATTGATATAAAATTGAAACAGAACCTTTGCTATGAGGATTATCTAGAGATTTCCATGATATCGGAATAAATCTTCAAATAAAGAAGATATCTGTGATACAATTCTGTACAAGATTATTACAGCATTATGAGACATTTCTGTTACTAGACTGTTCGCAGTACAGTAGATGAAAAGTGCTCATTCAACACTTCTACTAAATTTCTATACATTAACTCATTCACCCTGAAATTTCATAATGATCTATTCCAACCTTTGAGTTGGAAGAGTTCAAATGTGTTTTCAGGGGTGAATGAGTGAATATGTGTAATTGTTATATTGATCATTCAGTTAAGGATCCTCGTCTCACTGCACTGAGGTTTTCCCTACGTGCAGTCATTTCCCCTTATTTCGCTTTACTGTACGTAGCACATTGGGCAACGACACTAATTTCATTGACCAGGTAGCTCAATTCGTTAGATCAAGCGATAGCATAACATTCAAGGATCCAAAGTTCGAATCCTGGTCTACGCCCGCTATAATTTTGTCCCTTATAACACTCTTGATTATATTCTGTTTATTTCATCTTGATCAATTTTCTTGAAGGTCCTGTAAAATATAGGCTTTCTTTTCTGAGAAGATTTATCAAAGCTATAAGTCAAGTTGAAAAACACTGTTTACAATATGTAGCTGAAGTTTCTACCAGTGGTATGAGTATCTTTAACTCTTTTTTTGTCCCGAGATAATACTTAACACATCACAGACTGAACCTAATAGTATTTACAGGCATGTACACACACACGTATAACATGTAAAATAGTTAATTGATATTAATTAATTAATGGCAGATTAAATATTTACAAAAAGTCATACACAAGCTAGATTAATTGGTGAAAAATGTATACATCAATGGAAAAAAAAAGATTATTTAAATTTATACTGGTAAAATAGTATTATCATCAAAAACTTGATTTTTAAAAAAATCTCAAAGATCAACATATTCTATCATGAAGTGTGTGACAGTGATGGGTCCAATATGGTTGATCACTGGGTGTGAGTAAGTTCTCTTCTGAATGGTCTGCATTTGTTATTCTAGTATGACAACTCTTACCGGGGCCATGCAGTTTCTTCAGCTCAATAGAACAGATCTTCTTTAAAATAGAGGGGTCGCAGGGTTTACCTACACCTCCATAAGTACAGTCAATACATATGACAAATCTTATCAGGGCCATGCAGATATTCAACAAAATTATCATTTGCTCCATTTTTCTTAACAAGTGAAATATTGTCGACAATCGACACCTTACTCACCTATACCTGACCTTACCAATGTCTGGTTTTACCCGACATTACAGACTTAGGCATTTATCAACACCTGACTATATACACACCTGTCTTACTTAAACACCTGATGTTACCGACACTTGAAATTACTAATACCTGACATTACAAACACCTGACTTTACCAAGGCCGGACATTACAGACGCCTGACTTTATAGATACTAATATGACTTTACCAATATCTTACTTTTGACATATAACTTTATTTAAACACATGAATTTACCAATATCTGACTTAACTGACCAATTATTTTTTACCTAATTTTGATTTCTCCTTAACCCCTTATTTTACAGACACCTGATTTTATATATACCAACAGATACATTACTTTACCAATACCTCATTTTATACAAATGACTTAACTTCAAAACCTGACGTTACAGACACCTGACTTTACCTATATCTAACTTTACCAACACCTGACTTTACCTAAACCTGATTTAACAGACACCTGATTTGACCGACAACTTCAATGACACCTCACTTAAAGGACAGCTGACTTTACAGATACCTGAATTTACCAATACCTGACTTTACATAAACCTGACTTTACTGTCACCTGATTTGACTGCCAACTTTACCAAAATCTGATTTCAATGTCACCTGACTTTACCGACACCTGATTTTGACACCTGACTTTACCGACACCTAAATTTACCTACACCTGACTTTACCAAAACCTGACTTTACCAAAACCTGACTTCAATGTCACCTGACTTTACTGACACCTGGTTTTGACACCTGACTTTACCGACACCTGGTTTTGACACCTGAATTTACTGACACCTGGTTTTGACACCTGAATTTACCTACACCTGACTTAACAGATACCTGACTTAACAGATACCTGACTTCAATGTCACCTGACTTTACTGACACCTGGTTTTGACACCTGGTTTCGACACCTGACTTTACTGACACCTGGTTTTGTCACCTGACTTTACCAAAACCTGACTTCAATGTCTCCTGACTTGCATGACACCTGACCTACACCTGACTTTACTAATACCTGACTTTACAGAAACCTGACTTTATTGACATCTGACTGTACTAAAACCTGACTTGATTAACTCAATATGTATGCCCAGTCGACTGACACACTGTTTTATCAGACCAAATCAATCAGTTCACAGTGAAGAAGTAGAGAGATTTAAATGTTCGTAAAATATATAAAGTATATCATATACAGGTAAATTGTCAAGGCACTTGCTCATGCACAACAGCAGCATGCAATACGGCGTTTGATTAAGGTACCTACTTTTATTGGCCATATCGCCATGGTAACGGTGGGGGTGACTGTTCATCAGCCTCACCAAAGACGTTTTCTCCTCCTTCATCCCCAGCATTGGTACCACTGATCCTTCCGTCACTCAACACAACAGTTTCTAACCAATTTCACAAATACGATCAGTAACCAAACTGATACACGAAGTTTCATGTAAGCTGTTACAGATTTTATTACAGCAGTTGTATAATTTTGAATTGCAGTTCAGCATAAAAGTTCTTTCACATCAGTTGTTTGAACTCCACATGTGACCAAGCTCAAAGTTTTAGACACTATAGCAGACCTCAAGTTCAGTCGACAACATCAAGAAAGCCAAGTTGTCAACATCACACAAATTTGGAAGTCAGCATCAAATTGGTTCTGTTTCTGGCACCATGCAAGTTTTGTTGTCAGTATTGCAGCAATGTTTTGACAGCAGATTTTACGTTCCTTCACAGGGGGAGAGTAAATATTTTTGCCGGAGACAATATCAACCAGCTGTCTACTCGGACAGCTGTGACAAATATTATCCAGAGGCGGTCATTCCTCCAACAGGTCACCAAATCGTAAACACCTCTCGATCGTTTTGACCTCACTGTTAACGGCAACTTCAAAATTCACAATCAATTCTCTAAGGTGACCAAAAACAGTCAATTGAGTTCTCATCAAATGAAAACAAGATTCACCATTCAATTTTAATGTCGGAAACAGTCAAACACACACAAAATTGTGTAGCGTTGTTATCATTGACTTCGGCATGATATTTTGTCATCAAATTCCCAACGGTACTGGATCCTGTAGGAATGTTAAAAGTGATAATTAAACATTGATGATAAAACGCTGAGTGCCATGTCACCTGGCTTAACAAGGGGGCCACTGCTGCTGCTACTGCTGCTGGGTAAGATAGATACATCGGGCCACCTGTCAATAGCTTGGTACACTGCGTACAGAATACTGTGAGATATATACCTGATGTATCAGGTTGTTTTACCTAGCTTCAAAACATCACGGCGACAAGTGACAGATATTTATATCAGATAGTAAAATTCTGGCCCCTCAGATCAATTAAACAGTTCACATAAGCTTGATATAATCAACTTATATTTCAAGTTTCATTATTTTTCTTGAAAACTCTTGAAAACCATATATTACACTGGTCTTATATGATCAAAATATCTGATAACATAGCTTTTTCATAACCAATTTGTACTTTCATTATTTTTTCAGGTATGTCCTTTTGCAACCAATATTACATAGTCAGAGAGACATATAAGCTATGTAGCTAATAATAATAATTTAGATAATATCATTTTGTATCTAATAATTCTTTAACTTTTCTTTGAATTTTTAAAATCATTTTGAACCATATCTTTACCGTACTATACATTTTTTCAATTAATTAAATATTAATTAACTAATTCACCCCTAAAGACACATTTGAACCCTTCCAATTTAAAGGTTGGAATAGTTCATTATGAAACTTCAGGGGTGAATGAGTTCTATACATGCACCTACATGATATATCTTATTTGAAAAGAAAAACAAATCTGAGATTATATATATAATAAAGATTTCAAAAATAAGAAATATTCAAGATAAAAATTCAATATTTGGTTATTTCTCATTATTTAAACTTAAACAGAATATGTTCAATTTAGGTAAAAATTGTACAGGTACCATGTGTAATAGTAGAACCAACAGGTAAAAAACTATACAGGTAACTCTGACATGGGATCTTACAGGTAAATTACAAAACAGTAGAGTTACAGGTAATTTTTTCAGGTAACAAACATCACAACAGCTACAGGTATGGTGTTCTGGTACCTAACATAGCAGTAGACAATACATGTAATTTATTGTGACAATTTACAAAACAGTCAAGTTACAGGTAAATTGTACAGGTAACTTACACAACAGTGATGGCAAAATCAAAAGGCGAGGGCAGAACCAGGTACAGCAACAACAAAAAACTGTTGTAGTGACACCTCATATTTCACCTGTTGTAGTGACACCTTATTTTTTCACCTGTTGTAGTTGCACCTGATTTTTCACCTGTTGTAGTGACACATGATTTTTCACCTATTGTAGTTACACCTGATTATTTCCACCTGTTGTAGTGACACCTGATTTTTCACCTGGTGTAGTTATAGTGACACCTTATTTTTTTACCTGTTGTAGTTAAACCAGATTTTTCACCTGTTGTAGCGACACTTGATTTTTCACCTGTTGTAGTGACACCTGATAACTCCCTTGTCGTGTTGACACGAGACTTATTTCACCTGTTGTAGTTACACCTGATAATTCACCTAATGTAGTCTTTGTCACCTGATAACTCCCCTGTCGTGTTGACACCCGAGATTTTTCATCTGTTGCAGTTACACCTGATAATTCACCTGTTACAGGATGACACCTGAATATTCACCTGTTCTAGCTGCCAGTTTTACAGGTATATATATATCAAGGATCAGCTCCCGCCACACATCCAGGCCGCATTAACCAGTTAAACAAAAGCAACTAAACACCACAGAGTAAAATCACAAATATTCATATCAACTTACTCAATGATAGAGAGAAAAAACAGGGACAAGTTTTGGTGTTCAGCCTTGGGATTGGGGGCAGTGAGGGAAAACCAGGCTATCTCTTAGACATCTGGTGTTTCTACACTCAAGTACTACTGATGCTAACACCAGCTGCATATAAGAATCACTGGCGCCACTGCTTGATACAGAGATAGATACACCAGTTGGGCTGAATGGGAAAAACAGGCAAAGCATATGCACTCTGATGCCGATTTGTAGACAGACAGACGAAATTGTGGTCTGCTTAACTTCAACAGATTCCACTTGGAGCTTATACACCTTTCCATATGACAACTAGCAGAGCCAGCTGTTGGATGATAAAGTTTTGGGGGGAGGGGGGAGGGGAGAGAGAATAGGAAAGGGGAGAAATGGATTGAGAGGGGATAGCTAAGGATCGGAAAGGGAAAGGAAAAGATCAGAAAAGGGGAGGAAAGGATCAGGGATGCTGTAGCTGGGCTGTTCCCAAGGGAGATGAGAAAGGATCAGTAAGGGAAGAAAAGGATTTAGATGGGAGAGGAAAGGATTGGAAGGGGAGAGGTAAGGATCAGAAGGGGAAAGGTAAGAACCTGGGAAGCTCAGGGGAGGTGGTTGAGGAGGGGAAAGGGAAAGGATCAGTAAGGGTAGAAAGGATTGGAAGGGATAGGTAAGGAGTTGAAGGGGGGGATGTAAGGATTGGAAGGGGGAAGGTAAGGATTGGAAGAGGGAAGGTAAGGACCTGGGGTGCTCTGGGGAGGTGGTTTGGGCTGTAGATTGGAAAGGATCAGTAAGGGGATTGAGAGGAAAGGATAGGAAGGGGAAACTAAAGGATAAGGGGGGTAGGTATGTTGTGGTGGTGGTGGGGGAATCCACTGCGGCAGTAGGAGGACTCAGAAATGAAAACAGAAGCTGAGTTATAATTACAGAGTCCTTATCACCAGTGAAGGAGTCGGTGTGTGTGTGTCCCTATCTCTCCCTGGCCTAACATCTGATCTTCTCCTGCTGTCTCTACACCTGTCCCACTGCTTCCGATAGGCCGCCGATAGTAGCCAGACAGCACACACCGCACCACAACACTTATCAAAGGGAGCAGCACATTTAATCTTACCAGCCTATCCACATACCTTCATTAACCCCACCATGGAAAATGATCAGGTTTATCCTCCAGATCAAATTCACATAACATACATGTGAGAATTTCTGTCGAAGAAAAATTAACCTACTCGTTTTCCCTCCCCTCAGCAATCTCGATTTCCATATGGATACAGTGGCAATTCTTGTCGTGGTCTATCTCTTTTCTTGGTTAAAAGTCCTAGTGTTTTCATAGGTGGTGGTCCTCGATTTTGGTGTTGACAGACAGCAGCTGAGTTTACATTAAGGTCAAGATAAACTGTGTCAAATCGAGTTATACTAACCTCATTGCATTTTATTATGAAACCTTACAGACAGATACCTCCCTCTACAAAATTCCTTACAACCAGGTGGTGACTAATACCTCACAAATTTCTTATTCATTGGTTGTTACATTTCCACTGTCTGATGATCTGGCTGTAGTTAATATGAACAAATTGACACTTAATTTTTTATTGTTTTGTGATTAGTTACAAATTGCAGATGTGACAGAAGTCACATGTGACAAAATTAACCAAAACATCTGTGACAGACTCTACAGAGGCCAGAACCCATACAAGTGTGACAGAATACACAGGTGTGACAAAGTACCCAAATGTGACAAATTACAAAGGTGTGACAAAATACACAGGTGTGACAAATTACACAAGTGTGACAAAATACACAGGTGTGACAAATTACACAAGTATGACAAAATACACAGGTGTGACAAATTACACAGGTGTGACAAAATACACAGGTGTGAAAAATTACACAAGCGTGACAAAATACACAGGTGTGAAAAATTATACAAGTGTTACAAATTACACTGTGTGACAGAATACACAAATGTGACAAATTACACATGTGTGACAATTAACAAGTGTGACATAATATATCAATGTTTCACAATATATAATTGTGACACCAGACAAAAGTGTGACAATAAAACAAGAAACACAGAATATGCAGGTGACAAATTATATCCACACGACAAAATACACAGGTGACAGAATGGACATTTGTGCATAACAGAATACATTTGCGATAGAAAAAAAACATTTTAGTTTCACCTTATTAGGCAGGTTGAATGAGCAATAATGCTCAATAATAGGTCTATAATATTTCTAATGCAAATCATACTGCAGTTGCTTGTCTAGGTTTTTTTTTAATTTGCAAAGAAAGAAATAAGTGCTGGCGTTAGGGATATTAGGAAGGTATTGAAACAGAAACATAGGACTTACTTTTGTACTTCAATTCAGCCTTAAAGTATATGTAGGTAAGATATTGAGGAGATACCTAATATATTGATTTCCAATATACAGGTGTTGCAGGTATTACTTAACAATTAGTTTACCATAGATTGTTATATAAAACACTCAGTATCAGTATTTTCTGTATCAGGTGGGATTATACATTGTTAATAGACGTGTCAAAATTCACAAACTATCTACTACTAACAATCTTCTTATCATTGGTACTGTAAAAGCCAAAATTCTTGCCTGTGGAAATCATCGCATTGTGACTCTTTCAACTGATGGGGTGTGAATTTTTCTCTCTTTCAACTGAAATTTTCTGCGTTTACAATGATCCTGAAATCTATATAGTGCAGCTAGGAGTTGTAACAGGAACACAGGACTATAATCTATCTATAGATAAAAGAAATCACAAAAAGAGTTCTATATACTTCCATAGTACTTTCACATATTCAGAGGCTCATCAGGGGACCCTGATGGACCTCTAAAGAGGTGAAAGTAAAAGGGAAGTAACCCAATTGAACAGTCTTCAAACTTTTAAAGCTTATACATCATATACCGGTCACGTTTTCGACTGACCAGATTTAATTTCTTGGCCTGATACATATCTACGATCAAGTGTTCATACGCTGCATTTTCACAGCATTAAAAAGTGTGTCTATATGAACATACGGAAATGATCACGAACATAACATATCATCAGACGACTGACCTCCCGCGGTATGGAAGTGATCAGTGGTAAATGGTATCGTTATAATAGTAGGTACTGTACTACAAGAGAACGTGAATCAGACGCTTCTTAGGCCAGTAAACACCCCATGTCACGTCATATACATCAAATCAAAGGAAACACCCAAACAAGTAGGAACCGGCT